TAACAACAAGGTCCAGAGTTCGATCCCGAAAAAAAAAAAAAGCTCTTCAGTATTTTGCTTTTTAAACAACTGGTGTGCAAGTATGAACACATTTTTTGAGATGTTAATGAACAGGTGTTTCCAAGCATATGAAAAAGACAAAACCTATATTAAATAACTATGGCTGGGATTCTAAATGTTGTGCACAGAATTTAAAAGACCTCTTCCTCTTAAGTCTTAAACAGCACCAGTAAAACATCCATGGCCTCCTGGCCATTTCTAGCCTTTCTAAGTACCCTTCATAGGGGCATAGTATTTGGTTTGATGTCCATGGGATACCACTTTTTTTTTTTTTGTCTTTTGTCTTTTTTCCGTGTCCAGCAACGGATCGCAACCCTCAGTGTTGCCCCCGTACCGGACCGGGGACCGGCAACGGGATCGCAACCCTCGGCGTTGCTCCCGTGCCTCGCTCAGCCAGTGAGCGGGAACCGGTCTGTATGTGGGATCCGAACCCTCAGGCGGGAGCGCCGCCGCACTTCCCAAGCAGCGCACTATCCAGTGCGCCACCGGGCCGGCCCGGGATACCACTTTTATAAGCTATTTTATAAAGCTATAAGGTGCTCCACTGTAAGAGGGGACAAGCCAGACACCACTTTTATAAGCTATTTTATAAAGCTATAAGGTGCTCCACTGTAAGAGGGGACAAGCCAGTTGGGGCAGGAAATACAGGGACTGTGGATTCAGGTATGTGTTTAGTTGATGAAGATGGTGCAGCTGTTTCTAGACTGGCTAGGGGTGGGAGGGAGTAAAGTTCACAGCTCTGGAAGGCTGAACACTCCAGGTGCGCCAAGGCGGGGGGTGCCAGGAGGGTACCAAGGACTGTGGGCTGGGTGGGTGCTAAGCCTAGATGAAAAGAGAAGACTAATTTGTAAGAGGGCCTTGCTGGTGTCTGTGGCTCCTGCACTAGGGTCCCAGTTGTTCTAACTGAACAGCCTAGATGCTGGCTCCAGGCTTGCTAGACTTTGCACAGGGATGGCCACATGTTCCCAGGACTTTGTCAGCTACAGGCAAAGTGGGCCACAGCCTTCCACTCTGACAGGTATACTCACCCCTGTGTGTACCCAAGGCCATTGCCACAGTGCCTCATGGTTCCTAAAGTGTGGTCCTGAACTACCAGCATCAGCATCACTTTGGTAACTTGTTAGGGGTACAAATTTTTAGTCCCCACCCTAGGCCTGATGAATTAGAAACTCTGAGGGTAGGGTCCTGCAACTAGTATTTTAACAAGCTTCCCAAGGAACTGTGATGCATGTTCAGGTTTAGGAATCACTGGTCCAGATCAGTTCCAGGTGACACTGCTCCTGCTTTTTCCAGTACCACACTTTGAGAACTACTTTTCTAAAAATTTCATAAGCAAATTACTCAGTTTTTGAGTAAATCCAGCTATTAATTGTATTAGTCCGTTTGTGTTGCTATAACACAAAGAACAGGCTTATTTGCTTATGATTCTGGGACAGCTGCATCTGGCATGGGCCTCAGGCTGCTTCTACTCATGGCAGAAAGCGGCAGGCAGCCGGCAAGTACAAGCAGATCACATGGCGAGAGGAAGCAAGAGAGAGAGGGGGAGATGCCGGGGTCTTTAAACAACCAGCTTTGGTGGGAACTACTAGAGTGAGAACTCACTCATTAAACCCCCCTCCCCCAGAGAGAGCATTAACCCTTTCATGAGGGATCCACCCCCATGACTCAAACAGCTTCCAACACTGTCACATTGGGGACCAGATTTCCACATGAGTTCTGGGAGGACAATACATCCAAACTCCATCATTAATTAATAACTATTACTGAACAACTAAGGGCTGTTTAATAATGATTAATTACCTCTGATCAAGAGGATTGTGGGCAACTTTAAGAAATTTTATATATATCTGTATTGTTCAAAGTTGTTATCATAAACATGTATTACTTTTGCAGATAAAACTGATTAAAAGGTTTTTTTAAAAATGAAAATACTCATCCTAGTACAGTGCTTTACGGCACTGCTTCTCAGTCTTTATTGTGCAAACTCCACAGGAATCTAGTTAAAATTCAGATTCTGATTCAGTAGGTTGGGGGTGGGGCCTGAGATTCTGCATTTTCAACAAGCTCCCTAGCCATGAGGAGTATACTGGTACATGAACCACACTTCGGATTTACGGAATGCAAAGCACTTTTATATATAATGTATATTATCTTGTTTGTTCCTTGTTACAACCCTGGCAGATAGAAATTCACTAATTAACTTGTTCAACCATTAAGTTCTATTATACGCATTGGTACATCAGGCACTGGCTATACAAATATGGTCTAATGGGGTGGAAAACCAACCAAACAAAACATGAATGTAAACAAATAATAATTAAAATAGTTATCAGGTGAGTAGGAAATAAAGAGGGTGCTGAAAAAGAACAACAGGGATAGCTCCTGGAAGGCCTCTAGTAGGAGGTGACTCCAGCAGGCATGGGAAAAGATGAGCCAACGAGAAGTTCAGGGGCAGGCTCTGGGCAGACACCAGAAAGCTCCTGCAGCTAGAGCACGGCGTCGCGGGGGCGGGGGGTGTCCCTCAAATCAGGGAGGGGAGACAGGTCCGTCAGGCCCGTCAGGCAGTGGTGGGGGGGCCCTTTCAACCTAAATACAGGGTAAACGTTGAGGGTTTAAGCAGGAAGTGGCTGGTCTGGATTGCCTTAGGATCGCTCTGGATGCTGTGTGGGAATTGAAACCTCTCCAGGGTCACCTCGCAGCTGGTGTAGGGAGTGCCGGGCCATGCGGGGGCGCCCAGGAGTCGCGCGGATCTACCTGGGGATCAGGAACCCCCATGTGAATAACGGGCCTACCAGAGTCCGCGTTATTATTGCTGCACTGAGGACCTCAAACGCGCGCGCTCTGGGGCATAACATGACTTTTTCCTTTTCCCCTTTTTCAGAGGAACTGGGCTCCCATCCACGCTTTGCTGGTCACATGGCATCTTAGACATTTCCCCCCCTCTGCCTCAGTTTCCCTACCTGTCCAAGAGGACGTTGGGCCAGCCACTGGTGACACCCCAGATTTCCAATCGTAGCTCTCGGGCAAGCCGGGCGTCGGGCACAGCCCGGGCATAGGTGGTTTCGAGCCGCACACAGGATCGGCTCTCCACCCTGGAAACTGAGGCACGGCGGGGCGAGGAGCGCACGCCCTCGAAACTTCCCGCAAACTCCAAGTGGCCTGACTCGGGCCCTCTCGCAGCCTACCCAGGCCGCCCGGTTGTCTCGGCGCGGAGGCCCCCGCCCAGCGCTGCCAGGGGTGGGGCCGGGTTGAGCGGGGAGCGGGGCCAAGAACTCCGTCCCGTGCGGTACTCGCAGGCGGGTGGCAGTGGCGGCGGCGAGGGACTCCCGCGCGATCCCG